CTTTCCACATTCACACGGCAAAGGCACTTAACCCACGTTATCATCCTTTTCTGTCTGCATGTCGGTGCCTCTGCCCCTCCCGCCCCCCGCCTCCCTCGCGGACATCAGCCTCTCGCGAGCACGGACGACGCCAGCGTGTCTCCCTATCTCCACCGCCTAACCCAGCGTCTGGCCCAGGGTGCAGGATGAGTATTTACTGGTGATGGAAGGAAGGTGTTACAAAGGCAGAACCTGTTCAGCCCTGGAAAGACCCAGCTTCGACAGTTAGGGCGAATAGGGAAGAAGGAAATGCCCGAGCCCACGCTTTCCAGGCCCGAGGCTTCGGCGCTTCTCGCACGGGAGGCGAGGAGTAAACGTGCTGGCCGATGGCTGTGTTCAAGGTGAGGCTGGGAAACACACGTGGCCAACTTGCAGCACGACTGGTGAGCCCTTTGGGATCAGCAGATCACCCCGTGCTACGTGACTTTTTTTCAAATTATGTGAGGAACTACGAAGAACGCCTTGCTGCGTTTATACCTTTAAACTCCCTCGCCAGGGTTCTGGCTTACTTAACCTCACGTGTGTTTCCGTTAACCATCTGGAAGCCTTGATTCCGGAAAGTGAATTTGAACCTCCCTTTGTCCTCATTACAGCAAACAAACACCAAGGCGGTGACATTCAGACAGTGAGGACCGACAGCCACAGGTGGTCCCTACGAGGGGCGGCAGCACCGGGCCCTTCTCACTCCTGGCCCCCAGCTGGAGTGGCTCTGTCCCCCGGCCTTTCCAGGCCCTGGGATCACACAGGGGCGGTGTGGCTCAGAGCTCGGGCAGCGCCAGAAAGGTCGTGGAAATGGAGCTTCGGGGCTAGCGCGCACGGCTCCCTTCTCGGAGATGAGCAGCGAAGGTGCAGAGGGCACAGCCGGCTCTGCAAACAGAGCCCACGACCTGTAAAGAGCGTGGGTAGGCGCGGTGAGCGGGAAGGATGTGGGCAAACGACACTGAGAAAAAAAATTACTGATGATTCTGTTTAGGGATATTGTGGAACGAGGCGGGTAATAGGGATGTGGGCGAGGGTTTTCTAGGCCACGGAGAAGGGCTTATAACCCTGTCCTCAAGTTCTGGAGGTTAAAAAAGGATTTCTGTGATCTTGGGTTGGAATCAGTGTCTTGACACATTGCTGCCAACACACCTTACAAATGAATGAGCGTATTATTGGATGTTCATTTGTCTTTCAGATTTCACACTTATTACAACAAACCACATCGCTGCCTTGAAACTGTTCACCTCAAAGAAGCAATAAATAAGGTTGGGTTTTTATTCTATAAAAATCGATGCCTCTGACAAATATAATGGTCAACTTTTCAATTTAATTATGAAATGCTTAGAAGGAAACAAAACACGTAAAAATCAAAAACTTTCCACGTGTAACTAAGAAAACATCGTGGATCTTATATTGAACGGCCTGTGAGTTTATCTCCCTGTCAGCATAGAAAGATGATCAGAGCAAACATCTCCTGTCCATTCCTCCCCTCACCTCTCATTTGGATAGATTTTATTTATGCATCAGACGACCTTTTTGGCCATTAAAACCATCTTGCTTCAGCAGTTAATTAACACTAGTACCATAATTTAATACAGTTAATGCTACTTGATGTCCTTTAATGTACCTTCCATTAGTGATATTATTGTAGTATTACCCTGTAAATTAAAATGAGATCAAGACTGAGGGAGCCACTCTTTAATTAAGGTGCTGGAGCACTTGACTTGTCTATTATTCATTAGAGAAAATCGGCCTGATTTACTGAAGGAGGACAGCCGTAAGTCGGAATTAGTCCGGGAAGATTATTAGGCTGATTGGACGATGCAAGGGCTGCGGAGTCGCGGGTCGCCAGCAGCCATCTTTTTCCTTCAGGATCTTAATAAACACACAACGAGAGGGAGGAAGTGGCAGCACAAATAAGTCCGAAGCCAAAGAGGGCTGCAATATATACAATGGGATTATGGGTCCTGTCACCAATAAAATAGGTACAGACGCGCGACCTGCTAAAAAGAACCTTAATGCGACATTCGTCTTATGGCAATCAAAACGTTATTTTTACACCAAACAACAGCAGGTATAAAACGCAAATGCCCTGTTCATTTGTATGCAAGAAAGAAAGAACTGGAATTCATAGTCAGTCAACTCAAAAGATGCTGCAACTGCTTTTGTGTCAAAGCTTAATCTTTCAGGGTGAAACATCTTGGATCCTCTGTCCACTATTCCATGGCAATTTCCCTCCTTTCCCCCCAAAATTCACACCAGTCCCCACATTACGGTGGAGCAACAGGCAGAAAAACATCATTATAATGACCACACACGGACAAGGAAAGGCACGTTCAGTGTTGCGAGTAAATTCCGTGCAGGGAGGGAGGAGGCGCTGACGGAAACAACTCTTTTGGAAAGTTTCTATTTGTGATATTCTTGAAAAGGAACCTTTAGAGCTTTCTTTTAGAGATCATCAATGACCGCTCCCATAGACGATGTGCTGTCTGAGAAGAAGACAAACGAGGCCGAAGTGTTCAAGGGTGAAACATCTACCGGCCTCTGTGCTGAAAGATCTGTGATGTAGGCAGCACTTCCCTTCAGCGGCTCCGCGTTCCTTATATAACTGAGAAGCTGGAGACACGCCTGAGCCTTCAGGCCTTGCTTCTTAGTCCCTCCCCTAAGACTAAAAATACCCCAGCCATCTGGTGCCTCACACCGTGCGTGCCAACGTCAGTTTTGCCCTGAGGAATTTGGACAGAGTGTGGAGGTGACAGAAGGGGACCTTAAGGAAGGGGCTCACCTCTCCTGCACCTTCCGCTCTTGCTATCGCTGCCTGGTGAGCAGGAAGAGACAGTGGCGGTGAGTCCCGGGCGGGTGGGGGGAGGGTCCCTCTAAACTCCTCAGAGCCACGGAAATGGAGTCGGGGGGTGCCACCAGGATGCAGGACAAAGGAAAACTGGTAAACCTGCTGGGATTTTACATTTCTCACACTATCTATAGGAGACAACGTGTCTGACCCCAGTAGAGAATGCCCAAAAATGTCTGTAGCTTTAAAGTGTATTTACAGTCTTCTTAAAATAATCAGAGGGCACAAAAGTGAATATTCAATAAGAGAAATAGGCCCCCGGCAATGGTTATTTCCCAACCGAAAACCTTCCCAAGACTGCCCTCTGTGCACGTGGAAACAGAGTGCAGAAGTCAGGCTTCAAGGACTTGGGCTTAGGTTAAGGATTTCTTGAACTGCAAGGAAACAGATCGAACAATGCAGATCCCACCAGGATCTAAATTCATATTGCTTATTAAGTTTGACATTTATTCTCGTGGATGCACAGACTACTAGTTGCTTTGTTGTAGAGTGCTACGGTTAATAATACCAACATCAGCTTTTTGTATATATTGCAGGCCTCAAAAAGAAGATACCAGCAACTGACCATCTTCTGCTAAGATATTCATGAACCTAATGGCTGTATTTTCCCATAAACAGCAAACTCATGTTTAAGGCAACAGCTTCCTACTCTACTCTTGAGGCGCCCTGCTAATTCATGAACTCTCTTCTATACCCTGGACCCCATAAGCTCACTATTGTACCAGGGCATATTTTGCTCAGACATGTTACTTTGCTTTACAGATATCATTATCCGACATCACCGAGACCTTGGTTAAAACATTTTTGAGGAGGTTCCATTGGGAAAGGTCCTCGACTCTTCTGGGAGGCACATGAGCGAGACCAAAGCTGGAGGGCAGGTGGCCGCCCATTTCTGCCACTCTCCAGAGTCCAGATTCTGGAACCTGGACCCCTCTACTGAAGTCATGCCCACCACACCACTCTGCATGTCCACTCTGGCCTGTCCCTTCACAGCAGTGACCTCTTCTCCCCTCCAGGGCCAAATACAATAGCTCTGTGATCAGGAAGGGGTGCAACAGCCCTCCAAAAGGCCAGGGAGCCTCGATATTTCTCCAGCGTCTGAGGACTGGGCTGCCCTAAGGAGTTCTGGATGCCAGTGAATAACCCTGCCTTGTTTGTTTAAATGTTATGCCCACTTAATTAAACCTACATGATCTATGTACCATTCATATTCTCATCTTCATATATTCTGATTTAAAGCTCTCCTGGCCTTTTTATAATGATTACCGCTTTGCTGTGCTCTCTTTTTCCATTTTGCTGTTGTTCCACTTACTTCTAGTTTTCCCAACTCATTATCCCGCGCTCCAACCTCCATCAGCAGGTGGGTTTGATAACATATCACACTTAAAAATCAGATTGACAATCTCTACTATCATGGTCCTGGTTCTAATTATTGAAGTTTTTCATTTAAGTATCTTCCAAATTCTTGGAAACTTGCTCAGTTGTGTCTCTGGTGCCAAACCAAAGACATGGCTGACCGTGACCCACTGACATTTGAGCAGCGGTCCATCCATAATTGGCCCACAGGGAATGAGGGTAGCCTGACTCAGGTCCCTATTTTAAACAGCAGCACGTCTTTTTAAGACAATAGCACCCCCAACCCCCTGAAAAATACAGCTTTCCTTTTTAAACAAGTGCATTGTTTTTCCTAAATGCTTTTAGTCCTGATTTAATATATTTAAAGAAATATAGCTTTTGTTTCCAGAGCTTTTTTGTACAATATAACAAAACAGAGAGAGTTATACCATGTTGAAACCTTCCCTTGCATTTGAAAACAACAGAAAGATGTATTTCTTGCTTTTCAGTCCCTTTTCTAAGACGCTTACCCCGCCCCCCACCCCAACCTGCCTTTTGTTTAAATTCTAAGAAATCCCACCAGGTTGAGGTCTAATGACAGCAAGTCTGGGATCACAAAGGGCTGTGAGTCAGAAGGGTCTTACATGCCTCTGGTCCCACCCGCAGGCTGGCGTTCGTGAGAAAGTGCGGCAGTAGAAAGTGACAAGTGCGCCTCTACCGGACCAACGCCCTGGCATTTTCTGTGACCCCGGCCCCTCCCAATTCTCCATCACTCGGACCGACGCTCTCTTACCTCCCATGCACCTTTATGTCTGAGATCGCGTAGAAGTAGCGCGCCAGGTGGAGCTCATCTACATATATTTCCCCGACGGCGGGTCTCAAAAGCCGGATCCTCAGGTCTGTGACTGTGAAGAAATCTCGGAGCTTCTTGGTTGTATCCAGCTGCCCGTACAGAGAAGCCATATTGCGTAGCCACGGCCCCGCAAAAAACGCGAACCTGTCTTTGATCTCAAAGTGGATTATTTTGCTGTTGGTCATATACCCTGTGGAGTATTCTTCGGTGCAAATGATCTCTAAGACCGTGTGCTGGGAGAGATCCTTCACGGATTTGGGGTCCATGTGGAAGGCATCCAAGCAGTCTGTGGCGTAGTACTGGTAGGGCTGCCATGTTCGCCCATAATCGAGGGACTTCTCCAGGATCATTTGGTCCGGACGCCCCGACTCGAAGGTGATGACGATGTTGTCTGTGAGCTCGATGGTTTTGCTCCAGGACAGGGTGATGTTAACCTGGAGAGGCTTGGGATAGTCCTTCCAGGTGGCGGACTGCCAAAAGGTGGAGGGGTGTCTTCCTTCAAAATCAAACATCAGCTCAGGGGGGTGTGCCAGCTCGGGGGTGCTCGCGTCACACTCGTTATTGCACATGTAGGGGTTGCCCTGCGGGAGAAGAACAGAAGAGGCCGCGTCAAAACCTGGGGCGAGACCTGAGTCTCACCATATTGCTGTCGGGGAGGAAGAGGCCAGGAAAGAAAGAGAAAAAGAAGAAAAAACCTGTGTGCAGTAATCATTTTTATTTGCCCTGACTGGAATCTCCCGTATACTCGCTTGAAAAAAATTAAAAAAAAAGAGAACTAGGCTAATTTTCTGGTCTTGTTTCCTTCCACGGGCTTTAAGGAAGGGAAACAGTTTATTTATCCCATATGTGTGAGGCCCGTAATGTGGTCCCAGAAGCACAAAGACACCGAGCGGCTGTCTCACAGCTCAGTACCTCCGCGTCCTCCCAGGAAGATGCTTTAGAAAAAGCAGGGAAATTCCTGCGTGCCTCAAGGACGTTCCTCAAGAGCACAGTTCTTTCAAAAGCCGTTTTTCAAACAGAGCTTTAGAATTAGCAATGAGCCGTAGATACCCGTGTCCTATTTGGGAAACAATACCCCCGTGCGATGTTCCGGCTCCTTTCTGCTTTGCCTCGGATCCATCATTCTTACCTGGGTCCCTGCTTCATGAAGCCTGTTTTCAAAGCATTCACTTGATGCACCACAAATCATTAGAATGTGGAATGCTTCAGGCTCTGGGGCTTGGTCCAAACATCTGCCATCCCGTTAGCTACAGGCACGGGGATTGCCTGGGGTGGGCATGTGCGCCAACTTAGCAGAACCGGAAATTCCAGTATAAAATTAGGAGGGCGATGCCAAGAGCCAGGGACGCACTGACTTGTCCCTCTGTGCTGGCCATAGTCAACTGTCCACAGAGGTCGACCGTGACCGTTGTCTTCCCTCTCACAAAGGCCACTTCCTTCAGAGGCCGACCCAGCAAGAAGCTGGAAGTCGGTCTCCTTGCCACCCCACAACAAGTGACAACACCCAAGAGCTGCTCTCAGCTGTCCTCAGGAGCTTCTGCAGCAAACAACCAGCCCCCTGAGTTTTGTTTATCTTGTGTTTAAGAAAATACGTAGTGTCCTTTGGAGGCAACCATTCAGGTATTTCCGGCTGATCCTGTCCAGGGTAATCACAAGAATCGACATTCTGACATCGCCCTCAGGCTTTCTGCTGTAATTACAATTAGGTTCCCCCTCCCCCTTTGTCATCAACTCAGAACTTGCCACCGGACCTGGAGGGTGCGCGAGCAGGCTCTCACATAATGATTTTACACTTTAGACGTCGATGCTCAGTTACCAGCTGACGCGTGTGAAATGGAAGATGAACATTGGAGACCTGCTCCGGCCTCCCCAGGGGCAACTCTCCTCCCTCGTCAGCTAATACTTTCACCCCCTCTTCCCCATTAACGCAACCGAATCCCGACGCCGGCAACAGGTTTGGGGGCCTCGCGTAGAATTGAGATGGGGCAGGGGAAAGAAGAGAAGGTCCGTTATCTGAGGGACAGAACTGTTTCAGAAATACATTCAAAGCATCGGTGATAATGGAAATGTTGCTGTACTTCAGTCTCGAATTTCAATTCCCTCTGCCTGATCGCAGCGTCTGTGGCACTATTTATAGTAACCCCTGCAAAACCAGCCGAGAGGGGAAAATAAGTTTCTGTTCCAGGTGGAATAAATCATGAAATGTATTATTATTTAAACTCTTTTAAGCATAGCAGAGAGCCAAAAGCAAAGCTCGGCAAACAGGCAAAGGCTTTTTATGGAGGGCTATAAATATTGTGGAATCTGTCAGGATTTATACATTCTAAATATATGTAAGTGCACATTTTACTGGAAGGGGTCAGATTTACACAAATCACACCTTCATTCGAAATTTACTGAAAAAAAAATAGTCCCTTCAAAATCTGTCAGCATGTAGCCATCTGCACAATCATGAGTTTGGATGCTGCCACCTTCCTCCTGACAAAAGCGCCTTCATCTAAGGTCAAGGGTACCGAAACCCAGGATAGCAACACCGCGGGGTCCCCTCCGTGAGCTATCAGACATCTGTGGCAAGTCGTGTTGACAGATAGCATTTCTCTGACTTCAGCATAGATGCACGAAACTTCTCAGATGGGAAGAGGGCAAAGAGACAAAGGGGAAGACACAGCAGACGGATTCTGGGAAAAGGTCAGTAGCTCGCAAACCTGTCTCAGAAAATACACTTGGAGATGTCCGTCTAAACAGCATTCATGCCTATAGGCAATCCAAGGGGTTGGTAAGCAGCATTTAGCATTTATTTAGCATTTATTGGCCAGTCACCTGACCACATTATCCTGGGTAATCTTCTTCATCCCTACCTTACAGAAGAGGAGACTGAGGTACAGAGACGTATCAAGGAACTTGCCCAGGGTCTGTAAGGGGCAGAGCCAGGACCCTCTTCGCCTGCCCCGTCCTGGCCTGTTCAACGCCCAAGTCAATGGATCCCCCGTGACGCAGCCCAGCCTGAATGCAGGGCTGCCTCGTACAAAAGGAAGGGCCTGAGCTCAACAGAGTTTGGGAAACACAGCCTAAGGGTTTGTGTCAGACAGCCGCAGCGAGCATTGCCATACATCCAAGGTGCCCTCAAGTTAAACTTCCCTGAGCTTCAGGCAGTACCTAGTGTCAAAAACTTATCTGACCATGGCCCCTTTTTTAGTCTTAGGGACCCCTGTTTCTATGGCACACGGCTAGTGTTCCCAAGGGCACCCTTTGAGATTCTCTGCCTTGTGCTGCTCTTAAAATGGCAAACGCATGGGTGCCAAACAACCCAAAGCTGCGTCTGTCGGGCGAAGACGTGCCTGTGCCAAGCGCTCAGCCCCTGCGTTTTACCACGGGGACACGCGCCCGCTGGGGCTGAGCAGGACAGCAGCTCCGGGGGACTGCTTACATTGACATCGCGGTGTCAGCTGTCGGAACACATGCCAGGACAAGGAGCAAGTTTCATTGCTTTGCACTGATCTGGTGCTTTAGGCACCCAAACAAATGAGAGAAAAGCTTCATGCATTCGGTAATTGTCTATGATACTTGATAACTATTGATTGCCTACTTTATCACTATATTTAAGGCCCTTGTCTTGGCTCCCAAGATCCAGCAGTAAACATATCCAAGTCCTTGCCTTCATCCATCTTAGTTGGAGGAGAGGCACCCAGTAAACAAATAGATAATGTTTGATAATGTTACATGCTATGGAGAAACATAAAGCCCATTAAAGGGGAGAGTGGCATTGGAGGAGGGATTCTGATTGTAATTTTATATGGGGAGGTCACAGAGAGCCTCTCCTCGATAACGTGACATTTGAGCAGATTAAGAACAATTCCCAGTTTACACTGGAGATGGTCAGAGGTTGGCAGTTACGTCCTTCATCTGACTTTATTCTTCTTAGTGGTAATTTTAACAGCATAACAATTTATTGAAGTTGATGAGTAAATAAATCATTTCACATGAGAATATAAACCAAATGACTGCAGATACAAAAGAGAGAGAGAGAGAGAGAAATCAATGAAACTTCTTATTTCCTACTCATGCTCTTTGAGGAGATTAATGATTTGATGGCCATTAACATAACTTACAGAGAGACAGGGATATTGAGAGAAAATCCTCAGGCTGAAAAATGTTATTCTGGCCTCCCGAGAAGAAAGCCTGCATTTCAGGTGAGAGAGAAAGAAAAGAAAAAGGACAAAGGAGCCGAAAACGTTGGCGTCCTAGAAAAAGAGAGCCTGAGGAGAGATTTTGTGCTAAAATATTTAGTGTAAATATTTCACATGGTTGTGATCTGTAATACTGTTGTTACAGAGAATTATCAATATAAAAATAATTGCTGTTAAAGGGATTAGATTAATTACATTTTCAACTACTTCAACCTCACCCTAATCCTCTCTAATACCATCAACAAAGAAATTTATATAAGAAAATAACTTCCCCCTCCTTGTGAAAGCAAAGAACTTCTTGCTGCTAAATCCAACAGTTTCAGGCATTAGCAAGTATAAGTAATTATTTTGTAGCCAGCAGGCAGCCTAAAATAGATCTCAGGTCCTATAAGCAACAAACAGATCCTTGGCTGGCTGTCTCTGGACAAAGCAGAAAATATTTATGACTGTGCTGATAATGTTGACACCATTGAGATGCCTAAATAGCTAAACAGATATGGCTGCTAAGTATTTTTTATAACAATTAAAAGAGGAAGAAGGCTGTGAAGTTTAATTTCATTTTAAAAATAACATTAATATTTTACCTCTGGGGGAATGGAAGTTAGTTTTTAATTAGCACTTCGTAGCCCAAGTGGAATATGTTGTTATTCTTCCCTAATGTGCTTTCGGAACTTAGAGGGATAAATATATTTTGAGACATGCTCTCACTGTTTCTACTGATGGAAGGGCCTTCCTTCTGACAAGTGACACTTTGAAAAAACCCCTGAAAAACCTGTTCACCTGAGATCTGCTAGACCCTTCACAGTTTAAAAAAGAAAAGAAAATCCTACCTAAGCCTTATCAACGTGATACCTGCGGTCCTGCCATTTTGGACTTGCCCTTCCTAGCTCTACTTAGGGCAAACTGCTGGGGATGACAGTTGGAAACTAGAGGATTCCCACGGGGGGGCTTTGCCACTGCCTTGTAAGTTACATGCCACGCGAGCACACACGTACGTACAAGCGGTGGTGAGAAGCATTTGGGGTCACACGCCGACCGTGAAAAACAGTGAGGCAGAGCGAGCTCCCACTCACTTGCATCTGGCTAGTCCTTGCCTGTGTCCTTGGTGACACTCGTAGAAAGACACAAAGGAGCAGAAACAGCATTCTGGGATGGCAGCCCTGACCTGTTCTCCCCGGGACTCTGAAGCAGACCTCGCGGGGGCTCTGCCACTGCAAGGCTCCGAACAGCCGGAGTGAGGGCTCGCATCCTTCGTCTACGCGCTGATCACAGGCTCAGCTCTGACGAGCCGTGGGCGCTGCGCTCTGATCGCTGCACCTCTGGGCCCGACAGCCTCCTTTGCAGCTCGCTGGGGGCCAAGGGGCAGGGCAGTTTCTGGGAGGTTGCTGATCGGT